AAAAGAGGAGGAGAGGAGGAAGGAAAAGGGGGCCGCACCCCTTGTCCAATTCGGACTAGAGGGGGGCTGCGCGCCTCCTTCCTTTCGGCCTCTCTCCTCTATTCCCGTATGGCCCAATAAGGCCTTTCCGAACTCCGAATATAGTCGTACAATATATCGATCTTTACGTCTCGACCATTTCGAGACTCCTCGTCATGTCCCCGATCTCATCCGGGACTCCGAACTCCTTCGATTCATCAAAACTCATAAACTCATAATATAACTGTCATCGAAACCTTAAGCGTGTGGACCCTACGGGTTCGAGAACTATGTATACATGACCTAGAACTATTCTTGGTCAATAACCAATAGCGGAACCTGGATGCTCATATTGGCTCCTACATATTCTACGAAGATCTTTATCGGTCAAACCGCATAACAACATACGTTGCTCCCTTTGTCATCGGTATGTTACTTGCCCGAGATTCGATCGTCGGTATCCAATACCTAGTTCAATCTCGTTACCGGAAAGTCTCTTTACTCGTTACATAATGCATCATCCCGCAACTAACTCATTAGTCACATTGCTTGCAAGGCTTATAGTGATGTGCATTACCGAGAGGGCCCAGAGATACCTCTCCGACAATCGGAGTGACAAAACCTAATCTCGAAATATGCCAACCCAACATGTACCTTTGGAGACACCTGTAGTACTCCTTTATAATCACCCAGTTACGCTGTGACGTTTGGTAGCACCCAAAGTGTTCCTCCGATAAACAGGAGTTGCATAATCTCATAGTTACAGGAACATGTATAAGTCATGAAGAAAGCAATAGCAACATACTAAACGATCAAGTGCTAGGCTAATGGAATGGGTCATGTCAATCACATCATTCTCCTAATGATGTGATCCCATTAATCAAATGACAACACATGTCTATGGTTAGGAAACATAACCATCTTTGATTAATGAGCTAGTCAAGTAGAGGCATACTAGTGACTATATGTTTGTCTATGTATTCACATGTATCATGTTTTCGGTTAATACAATTCTAGCATGAATAATAAACATTTACCATGAAATAAGGAAATAAATAATAACTTTATTATTGCCTCTAGGGCATATTTCCTTCAGTACTGTCACTGACAAAGACTCATCCCAAAATAGTGTCAATCCACCACTTCTGCCATCGCTACTCACGCCATGGAAACCCTTCAGACCAAGTCTCCATCTCATTTTTTCAACCTTCAATGCCTCTTGTCTAGTCTCACTAAGAAAGACTAGCTTGGGGTCGTTGGCTTTTGAGAGGGCCAACACCTCACGAACTGTCCGACGGTTCCCCACCCCCCGGCAGTTCCATGATAAGACATCCACTGGGATGGGCGGCCCTCCTCTAAGGAAGCCGCCAACTCTTGTGGATTCTCACCATCGATTGAAACTCTTGCCCTCTTGCTACTGGAGCTACTTGTAGGAGATTTATTCTCTTTTAAGTCCTCGCCAGAACCATCCATGATAGCCAGCAAGGGTTGCTGGGTACCAGAGACCGCCTTGTGACCATCCGCTTCATCCATATTCAATCTCTTCCGGGGAATCTTGTCTTGATCCAAGCTGCACCCTGGGGTCTTCACGGGGCTTGAGGCCGTGTCCATAAGGTCAGGATCTACCCCTTTTCCGCCCAGCCCCGCTGGTGCCTTCATAGCCTGAGAATTCACATGCACATTCTTCGAACGATCAGATGTGTACCCCTTAGTTGAGTGAGAGTCCACTCTAGGTTTATTGGGTGCGTCCGCGTACAGCCAAACGCCAAACTTCATATCCTTCTCCTCATGTATACCACTCCCGCACTCTTTGAATTCATGGCCTACCAGGGCGCACATGCTGCAGAATTTTGCCAACTTTTCATAACGAACAAGGTACACCTGACGCACACCACCCCGGACAATACTCACATATTTCGTCAGGGGTGTAGTGATGTCATGTTTAACCCTGATTCTTACATAGTCTCCCCTGATATTACCCTCCAAACGCATCTCCATGATCTCCCCTGCACCTTTCAGAAGCTTTTCAACTATGTTCTTCTTGCAGTAAACATCTGGGAGCTTATGGATTTGCAACCAAATAGGCGTATGAACAATGCTAACCTCCTCCGTTTTAGTGAACCCATCATATGGGCATAGCAGCACTGCCCAGGTGCGAAACAGCCATGGTCCTTGCTGCATAATGCGCTCCCAATCTCCCAAGCAGGAAGCCTGCACAACAAAGCGATTGGGCCCGACTGGCCGGAATCTTACCCTCTGCGCTGGATTCCATGCAGCTCTCATGTCCTTGTAAAACGCCGATTGACCGAAGGTTTTTTCAGTATGAACCCTAGCTAGGGCAAGCCAACGAGTACTCTCCTGGAGTTCTGGGTCATCCTCGTCAATCACAACATCCTAGAATTCCTCTTCATTGAGATCAAGCTGATCAAAAAAACCGTCCAGATCGGTCCTGGTGGCCGACGCACCGCCGCCTCTGTCGCCACCGCCGCCGCTGCCGCCGCTCGTGCCAGATTGGGTGTCCTAGGGGGACGCCATCCAGACCGAGTAGCGGTACGCCTGGTTCCTTGCTCGCACCGCAGGTTGGGCCTGCCGTCGACGGGAGAGACTCACGGGTGACCTAGATCGCCCGGGAGGAAGAAAACCCTAGCGTGGAGGGTAGGGGAAAAAACTAGTTACTGTCCGGTTTCGATCGAGTCAATGAATACTCGTTGTGCAGTGTGTGTGACAGCGTGTGGGTTGAAGTAATAATGCACCACACACTGCTTTGTGTTAGCTGGAAAACCGAGAGACTACATGCCACTATATGTTTTCTCATTCTAAAAAGACACAAACAATGTAGTATATACGACGCAGTGGATGAGGAATCCACCCACACCCACCTAACGTACTGACACATTTTTAAATCAAACTCAGGAATCTTGCAAATGTATGGAGGTTAGAGTTAGTTAATTAACCCCGATCCTCCTCCCAAGATGCATGCAGCCAGTACTTTCTCCACATTATAGATGTCTATGTATAAGTCTGCAACATATCATGAAGAAAAGACATACATGGTTTATATATGTCTTGTAAATATGACTTTGTCCAGAAATAATGGCATTAGTTCCTTAGAATTTGCATGCCTAGACCTAGCATGACCAATTAATTTGGACATTTGCAGGAAAGAGCATGATTACACAGGCTCCGAATTGAGTATATCACGCAATGCATTGAGATATCTCATAGCGGTTTCCTGGGTAAAACTCCACACACAAAGGATGCCTGGGTTCCAGGAAATAGTACGCCAACCCAAAGTAAAGTTCAACACGCACAAAATAAAGTATAGTACCCTCTCCCATCCCTTTTACTTAAAAAATGTGCAGCGCTTAGATAAACAGAAAAGGCACCGCCTCCTTTGCTAGTCCTTCGTGTCTCAGATCTGGCCTCAAAAGCACAACGATTCCATGCGCTATCGGTAAACCTTTCCGTCATGTTTTGTCCGTGACGATATCTGTTTCACATCCTGACAAGAGTGTTTGTAACTTTATACTACTATAAGAATTTAGGCGTACAATTCATTTGGGAACTCGCAACTAATACAAAATGAACCAGTGAATAACATATAATTACCACCCATCATTATCCGTAGACTCGTGCAAGTGTAACCTATTGAATGAACACAGCTACCTCGTGCTAAAAAAATGCAGCCCCTGCGAAAACACTAATTAATAGAAAGATGCAGCTATTCGTATTTGTAGCTTCTTTTTTTCTCTTAGAGTTACCATTTCATTGATTAAGTAAAAGAGAGTTGGTCACTTAATTAGCGGAAGAATGGACTGAGTACTAATCGAAACCCTAGCTCAGTTGCAAGTTCCTATGCTAGACATCCTGACAAAAGTTGCTTACGAGGTGCACCTCAAAAACCGTTGGCGTGGGAGTAGTTAGATTAAGGAACTCTTTGAGTCAGAAACGAACGCCACTACTTTTGCGAGTCTCAGGTCTGCCGGCCGGAAAGCCAAACCACTCCACCAACCGCCCAGAAAAAAGCAGCACCTCGTGTTGCACAGCCAACCGTTTAATACCTTAAACTCCGAACGCTTGCACGCAAGCAGGTCCCACACGCAATAGACTGTAGTGCTAACGCAAGTACTCCTACAAAGCACCCCTGCCTCCCTCGGAATCGAGATCCCTTCCGCATCAGCCCTAAGCCTGAACCCCCCGCCCACCTCACCTCGAGTTCTTCATCCCCCGGGAGCTCTAGCACCAGCGCGGCTTCTTGGGTTGGACGCCTGGTGATTAAGGTAGCTAACATCAGTTTTTGTCTGAATTCTATGAGTAGTGATGTATGACTTTGTAATCAAACCTGTTCAGTTCTTGGCACTCTCTGGCAGACCATAGTTATGCTCTTTGGTAGCCAGCCTAATTTTGGTTCTTTTTATGCATTTACCTCTCTCAATTGCTTTATTTTTATCCATGCCAAGTTGCCACCGTTTGCTAATTAGTTTTACCCACAACCATGGTAAACGTTCCAATGGCTGTTTAGAGCATTGCTCTACAGTATCATTCTACATATGAGTAGTGTTATTGGCCATCCCTGAGTAGTATTTACTTTGTTCCTAATTCATTCAAGTTTAAGGGTATTTTCCTTGATCAAATTTTGTTGTATTTGACCAAATCTATAGAAAAAAAGTGTCAAGAGCTTCATACTCAAATATATATAGAACGAAAATATACATAATAGTGAATTTAATGGAACTAGCGTTGTGTTTTGTATGCTAACATGTTTTTTCTATAGGATTGGTAAAACCTTTTTTGTTTAAATCGACTTAGAACAAATCTAAAACTTCTATTAGTTTGAAACATATGGTGTAGCACGTATTCACAAAGCTTTCTAACAACTCTCAACACTTGTCGCTACTTAATTGGTTCCTTTGTACCAACAACATGGACTAATTCTTCTATTTCTAGCCCTCCTCGCAGCCCTGACAACTGAAAAAGCCTCAATGTTGATCGAAGGTGTTGCATGGGGCATATCCGTCATAGGATGGATCTTGTCGCCTCTCATCTCCAAGCTTGTGGATAAAGTATTATCCCACGTCAGCTACGACAAATCAAATGAGCTTGACCGCCTGCTGACGGATGTACTCCCTCGTCTCACGCTCACTCTACAAGGAGCATGCAAAGTACAGAATAAGAAACATTTCGAGGGTATTGTCAACAAACTGAAATCTGCTTTCTATAAAACGGAAGACATCCTTGATGAATTTGAGTACATTCGCCACCAAAAGGAGTTGAATGCGAAGAAAAGTCTTCTTGAGGAAAGGGAGAAGGAAAATCCCAATATTACTCCTGGTGTTGAAGTTGGCCCCTCGGACTCGGTAATTTCATGCTTTCCTTAAACGGTTAGCTATATAAATTAATGTGCATTTACTCATCCATGCACAATATAATTATCCTATCCAAGTTGTTGTGTTTTCCTCATGTATTTTAGTATAATGGACCATGTCTCCATTTTGAAAACTCAACGAAGAATTGTAACGACTTATCAAACACATGTTAAAAGCCTTTAGTAACATGGTCGTTTCATGTTTATATTTCAAATGCAAAGCAAATGAATTGTGGCCAACATATTCTGTACAAATATAGTGTGCTTACTCTATGCGCGTGTGCGTCTACTTACAAGGTTATCTAGGTAGCACCGCAAACCACTTGGTGATCCCCATCCATGCTATATCGAGACGTGGCATCTTATTTATGGGAAGCGTTGAGCATGACTTTTTTAAAATGGTCAGGGTGGAGAGATTTCCGGATTGTCACGTATTAGAGGTGGTGGAGGCAAAGAATATGATCAATGTACAAATATATCACTCCAATTTTCATAAAAAAAATTGTTCCATCTTAGCTCATACATAATCTCTATTTGACTAAAGATCCAAATATTTTGGGGAGCAGATGCCCACACCAAGGCTTTGCATGCCTGCCATACCTCTACCAACCAAAGTGAGCTAAACTCACTTTCCCTAACTATTCTTCAATTCGAATGTGTTGAATCTATTAGCAACCCATTTTGGTATTGATACATAAATGGATCAAATACAAAAGAAGGTCATCACGATGTTGCAAATAAAAGGTTCATGTATTTCATTCTCACGCTAATGGCAGATCGATGGTTTTAAGCCGCAAAGCTACGAGGAGTAAGCAAATGGTTTATCTGAGTAATTATTTTTGTAGAAGTCATTTATTAGCTGTTGGTCACCAACGGAGTTCACTACACCGTATATTAGTAATTAATAAGCGTGCCCAAGTGTTACATATCATCGAGTATATACCTTATTAATGGACAGGGGATATATAGTAGTAATAACTAAATTGTATTATGCATACATAGTTAACAAGCGCACCCAAGCCTTACATATAATTGGGTAAACATAACCGGTGGCTTGAGTTCAATATTCTATTCATGCAAGTAAGCACACTAAGAAAGAAAAATGGTATATCAAGGCAATATTAATCACTACAAGTAGAAAATAATGTCAACAATACGATAACCTATTTCAATTCTCCCCAAACATATAAGGTATGATGAGAAAAGGACCTCTAAGATGATACATTAGTTCAGCCAGAAATATACGGATACAATAAATGGCATTAAAGAGGTGGATGGATGGATATTAAAAGGTTTAAACTTGACCAATAAACACTAAAATTTATTTTTTATCCAGACTTCTTCAAATAATATTTGTAGAAATAGCGACAACATGTAGAGATGAGTTGAAGATGAAAAATAATCAAGAGATCAGAAAATTCCAGCAATATTCATATTTTTTGGGAGGGAAATTGCTGTAATATTTTAGTGGAAATATAGAGGAGGATGCACATAAATGGAATAGGATAATTAAGGTAAATAAAAAAATGTTTCTAAAAAGGAATATAAAGTTTATGATTTTGGTAGTTAATATTTAGAGAGTATGACATTGATGTGTTCTGTGAAATATTTAAGTTAGCAAACTTCGAAGTATTGGTATCACTTTTGTTTTGTGCTCAAAACATGCACATGTATTGATCAATACAATAAACTATGTATCGTCTTTTACACCTTTTTCATTTGCACATGTTTTATGTTGTGGGACAACTTTGATCGTTTCACGTGAAAGAAGGTTTTTTATGTATCTTTTTTATTGTGTGAAATCTTTTTTTATCTGAACCAGCTGCTATATCCATGAAGCTAGTTAAGCTGCTGTATGGATCTTTTTTACTTCTGAACTGACTTGCTATTCTACGGAACTAGCAAACATCAGTTTATTTTTCTAAACGGACACGGCTATTCGTATGGCCAGAATGTCTTCCTTCCATGAACAAAACCTTCTACTCCCTCCGTTCGGAAATATTTGTCTTCAAAATAGATGTATCTAGAACTAAAATACATCTAGATACATTCATTTCTCCGACAAGTATTGTACATATTAACCGTGTCAAACGAACCCATTGCATGGTTACGTGACTAAGTAACTTTGTTTAAATCCTAGCCATAAATTGTAAATCCAACTGTCTAAATATATATTTTGGATGATGTGGCTCATCGTGGTACTCTATTTTAGACATGTATATTGCTTTTCATATATAATACTCCCTTCGTTCCTAAATATAAATCTTTGGAAAGATTTCACTATGGACTACATACAAAGAAAAACGAGCGAATCTACACTCTAAAATGCATCTACATACATCCGTATGTGGTCCATAGTGAAATCTCTACAAAGACTTATATTTAGAAATAGAGGGAGTAGATTGTTAGTTTCAGAAACTCACATTGGAACCCAAGCTCACATGCTCCTGACAGATTTAATTTTTGTAAAAAATAGTATAACATTTTAAAAAATCCTAAAAAAATACAGACATACATATTCAAGTTTACTACAGTCGTGTAGATTTCCGTAACGAAATCATGTTTGTGTTGCCCTGTAACAAAATCAAATCTCTGACAGAAATGAGATTTTAAAATATAGTTTTGTTTGTACATGGCACTTCAAATATTAGTTCATTTCAAAAAATTACAAGTCCAAAATAAACTTTTATATTTGTTGGAATTTTTTTCCAGAATTCTCTAAAAAAATTACTATTTTTTGCCGAATTTATTATTATATCAGTAGCTCGGGAGCCAAAATGCCTAGACCTAGTTTATACTACTTTGAGATGAAAGAGATAAAGAATCAGTTCATGTTCCTTGCTCATTCAATTGCTGAAATAAGTGGTTGCCGAATTGGAGATTAATTTTTTCAGTCTGATTATTTTGTTCAGAAGATGAAGGGCAAAAGGAAGGTGAATTTGTTCGCAGGATATTCCAAAAAATCTCGTGCAGCCAACGAAGCTGAAGTGTGTCCTAATAGTAGTACAACTATGTTGCCAGGGTCTCAATCTGCCAATCCCACCCCAACTCCCACAGCCGAGGTACTCAATATATTCCCTGGCAGTACGGTTGCACCATCATTATTATATTTGTATATCACATTACGGCCATTTGTTTAAGAAATATAATTACATAGTCATATTCCACTTCAAAATACTGTCTAAACATTTTGGTGTACTTTCTTTAACGGACTATCTACTATGCTATTTTCGAGGGGAGAGTAAGTTATTACTTCTGGTAGATTTGATACCTGGGTCCACCACTCCATGTTTCTGGTCTATAAAAATCCACGCACAAAATGAGGATCAGTCAGTAATCATCATGCTCATTCAGAATCTAGGAAAAGCAACCACTAGTAACTTTAATAAGATTTGTACGGTCTAAGCGTAGTTTCTCTTTGGGGGAAAATATGGCGTGCTTCTACAAGTTTAAATGAGGCATTTCTTATATAAAGATTATTAGATTCTGAATCGCGCCGCCGCGTCGCCCCTCTCCACACCCCTTCCTCTGCTGCGCCCCCGCCGGAGAGGACGCCGGCGAAGCCGCGCGTGCCCCAGGGATGGCGGCGGCGGGGCTCCTTGCGGCGGCGCCCGCTAGATGACGACAGGGTTCCAGGCGTCGGCGCCGCGAGCTCCGGTGCAGCCTATCTTCTTGGCGGCGCCTGACTGCGGACCCGGGGCTGCCCCGGCCAGATCTGGCGTGGGAGTGGCTCGTGGCGGCGGTGGATGTAGTGCTGGCCTCGGCCTCGTGGGATGAAGTTGCGGAGGCATGCTGGTGGAGCAAGCTGCTGGCGCGGGTGGAGCGTGCTGGTGGTGAGGCCGGGTGTCAGGCACGGAGTCCGGCGGGCCTACTCCAGTGGCTCTGGCCAGTGCGCTGGGAAAGGTGGCTCTTTGCCTCTTTTCGGTTGCTGGCCGTCTTGGCGCTAGTGGCTTGGATCTGGCCGGCGCAGTGGATTGGTTGGTTGGTGGCGGTCCTTGGCGGTGGATGGTTCGGCTCCATGTGTGGCGGAGATGGCGGAGGCAGTTGTGCTACGTGATGCTACACCTCCCATCGTGGTAGCTGGACTGATCGAGCAGCTCCAGAACTTTGGGTTTCGGATCTTGGGCTGGGAGAAATCCCTGCTTCGCGACGTCGAGGCTTGCAATGGCGACGTCCGTGGGCGCCGTCCCCTCCCTGGAGGCATTATTTTGGCCCAGATCCGACTCCCTCCCTCGTGCTCAGGGGAAACCCTTGGTCCGGCCTCCGGACTAGGCGGCGGCGGCATCATGGCGTCGTTTCCTTTTTGGAGGCACCGTTCTGTTGCTCGAGGAGTCCCGGCGGCACTCTGGCGCTTCGGATCTGGCCTCCGGCAGGCGTGCGGTGGCGCGTCGACGTGCTTGATGTATGGCTGCAGCCCGGGACCATGGTGGTTCTTGGCCTCGCGCAGCGCCCCTCTGCTCCTTACTGGCATGGTGCTTGGTGGGGCACTGTGGCTCGCTTTGCGTCCGGTGGCTCTGCGTCCGGCCGGCCATTGGTGGATCTGGCGTCTAGGTTTGAGTTTGGCCGTCGGTGGTCTCTGCAAGGTGCGGCTGGCCGAGGCGGTTCGTCGTGCTTCTTCATCGTTGGAGGGTTCGACGACGGTGGTGGTCGGCTGCCGTCTTGGGTAGGGATGTGCTCAAACTCCGGGTGAGAACCCTGCATCGGCTTTGCTGATGCCGGCGGCAGCTGCGTCTACAAACGTCGTTTTCCTCGTAGGAGGTGCCGTCATGGAGCTACAACACCTACAGTTCTTTGTTTGTGGTCTCCGGGTAAAAACCCAAGATCGGGCTTGCCAGATCGGATGACGGTGTTGTGTTCTCGACAACACTACCTCCCTGGAGGCGGCGTCTTGGAGACCCAAACAACGGCTTCTGTTGCTGTATGTGGTTGCGGGTGGTGCATTTGTTGTTGGTGGTGTGGCCTGCTCAGGACCGAGGGTGGTGTGTTCTTCTTCAGGTGTTTCTCCTCGGCTGTCCTACATGTGGTCTCCGGCCTGCTACTATGCATGCTCATGACCCTGTTCTGTTGAGGCGAGCCTCGGGCTCTTGGTCTCGTCCTGGTTCATCTTTGCTCAATGACGACTCAATGACGCCTCCCTGACTTGCTAATCGTCTTGAACTTCCATGGCGGAGCGCTCAGTCAAGGTTCGTGTTAAGCTTTGGCACAAGGCCCGTGTTAAGTTTTGGCACTCGTTGATTGTGGATGCTCCTCTGTTGTGCCATGGGGTTTGATACGCACGCCGGTGCGGTGCGTTAGGCTGTTTGTAGAGTCTTGGTATTGTGAATCCTCGACGCACCCCTCATCTACCTCGTCCTGTTAGTATGCTAGCTAGGTCTTGCCTTATGTTCAGCGTCTTGTTCCTCTCTTTTCCTTGTAACACTTGTTACTTGTTTGGTTTTCGGCACGGTTTTCCTCATAAACGGGGTCAATTTGTTAAGGTTTTTGATTCGGTTTTCTTTATAAACTGGATCACTCTCCTGGCATTATGGCCACTTTAAGCAATATATTCAGGTGGAGGGACTCCTCCCCGGTGATTCTAAAAAAAAAAATCTATCCACCGAAGGAAACAGTTTGATAACCTAAATAAGATGATAATAAGGTACAAGGGTCCGTTTCCAAACCAGGGACATGCCACCTAGGCACCTATGCACCAAGGGCAGGAATTGGTGATGCATCTGTTTATGCATTATTCTTGGATGCAACAATTTTGGCTATCTGCCTTGTCAATGTCATAAGCAGAAAGCACAGAACCAAGCTTCTGATTTGCATAAGACCATGAAGGATTGCAGCCCCGTTCACCGTCCCCATCTTCAATAGATTTACCAGCTCCACCAGGCAATAAGACTCCATATATGACTTTTCAACATAATAACGAGCCAAGCCAAACTTAGGAATGACACCCCATCCTGCAAATCTATTGAAACTGACATAGGTTATGAATCTCATAGCGATCACATAAGCAATCATAGGCAGCTCTATGTGAAACTAATATTTGATTATCCTTTATGAAAGGTTTGCTACCAAAAAAAAACAGGGATCCCAAGTATCACATCTGTAGAATAAAAAGGTCAATTCACTACTACAATCATGTTTTTCGAACAAATTATAGGGAACACTATATGAGGTTTGCAACAGATTGTAAGGAACACCGACATTCTGCAAGTCATTGGCATCGGGTGGCCGTCGATGCTCTCCGGTGGGTCCGGACCTTCGGCTTCG